ATACGGTAATGTTTCCTACCCTTGTATGACAAAAAGATTTCAAATTCAGCTGCCCTGGACTGCCCGGGGCTTACGTACGGGCACGTGAAAATTATGGCGAGAAAATTCATAACTCGGGAATGAGAAGAGCTAGAAAGTGGAAACTTTGAAGGAATGTTCTCTACTCATGTACACCAAAAGTTTTCAAACTCAGCTCCTTAGAACCGTCCGCGGCTCACGTACAGGCACGTAAAAATTTTTGGCGCGAAAACTACTAACCCGGGAACGGGAAAGCTGGAAAGCTGAAACTTTAGGGGAATGTTCCCTACTTATGTTTAGAAGCACCCGCGCCCACGTACGGGCTAGTGAAGATTTTGGCGCGAAAATTACTAATCGGAGAATGGGAAAAGCTAAAAAGCTGAAACTTAAGGGGAATGTTCCCTACTTATGTACGTGCAAAATCAGGTGTTTGGAAGCGCCCGGGGCCCACATACGAGTGCATTGAAGTTTTGGCGTGAAAATTTCTAACCCGGGAACAGGAAAAGCTAGAGAGCTGAAACTTTAGGGGAATGTTTCCCACTCGTGTATGACCGAAATCAGGTGTTTAGAAGCACCCAAGGCCCACGTACGGGCACGTAGAAATTTTGGCGCGAAAATCATTAACGCGGGAACGAAAAAAGCTAGGAATCTGAAACTTTAGGGTAATGTCTCCCACTCATGTATGACCAAAAGATTTCATATTCAGCTTCTTAAAACTGCCCGGTACTAATGTACGGACACTTGAAAATAATGGTGGGAAAACTGCTAACTCAGGAACGGGGAAAGCTGAAGGCTTTAATTTTAAGGGAATTCCAAATTTAACTCTTCTAGTGCGGTTTTTTCGCGAATCAGCAACTTTCCACTTGTCGGATCACTGAAGTCGACATCTACAACTGACATACCACATAACTGCACAATTAACTTTCCGAACTTCGAGGGCCAGTATATCACAGAGTTAGTTATTGTGATTCCTTGCGATCTTGCTACGGCACGAAAAGTGCAAAAACGCATAATCGCACCGGCCTGCCTGGTGCGTTCCAGCCTGGGTTAAATTCCTCTGTAATCACTAAAATGGAACACCTGCATTGATTGCCTGAGTGGCCTCAACCGTGCTACTTTTAAATTCTTCAGTCGGTAACTTAACTCATCGTGATCTAACGAGTTGAAGATACTCAACATACACCAAGGACAACTGGAACAACTGAAACCTTGTTAAGTGTTTCTGTTAGGCAAAACTGTTGAACCAGCAATCCTTCAAGTAACGAGGAAGATCAGAACTGCAAGCAGGCGATCACTCAGTGGTTCGTATAATTAAAGAAGTTGCCAGAGCACCAGTACACTATCAATTAGCATTGTAGGATATTTTAAAATCCGCTTTTTTTTTCATCATTTCGCAGGAGCTAATTAAAGACAGCTCAGAATCGAAGCGACTGTAACAGGACCCAGGCCAATTGCTCTGGTGAAAACCCTACTCCCGAAATTACTAAATAGCAGATTAGCAAAACATACATAAAGGAAGTCACTAGCAGCTTAATCAGGACAAGATCCAACAGTGAAAAGTAGGAATCGGAGTTTTGGCTGGGCAAAAGTGATCCTTATCTACCGAATGCGCTCTCTCTCACCACAATAGAACACTCTTCCCTTCCTCCCCTCGCGCCACCTCATCTCAGGATACCCTCCCCTGCTTCGGTTCCCGCCACCCGATCA